TACATACATACATGCATGCATTCATGACGAATATTGTTATGCACATACAGACAAATGTATACATACACACATACACATACACCAGACAGCACCAAGAGGCTTGCAAGGAAAACAAGTCCTTATCTACAGACATCCGTAGAACCGTAGAACCACACCCAGGGACACCCTGAAACAAACCATATGGCCTTATGAAATCCCTACCGGGCCTAGATGATTGGAACAGGGTCAGGATAATTAGAGTCTCGGTATACTTGCGAACCCTAAGGAACCCTATTGATAGATATTCCGACATCTACAGTGTCTAGAAGAGACGAGACTCTCCTTTGCCGCGGAGATAAAACTGAGCGCATCATGGCGTGACTTCTCGCGGCTGCTGGACAGCTGGATTAAAGCTGCGCTGCGGCTCCTGACGAGAGGGTTTGGAGAGTTCAGGACATTAAGGGCTGATGGCGGCGGGCTAGTGTTTTGTTGTGGGGTTTCATGGTTCGGGGCTGAGAAGAAAGAATTGGGGAGTTTCGGGTGTGCAAGAGCATTCGTTGCAAGCGGCCTCAGACGGTCTGCAGACCGCTCCGGACAAAAAGGGCCTGAAACAGGCAGAACTCCACCCTAGAAACCTCAAGGAGGGCTTCTGGGGCAACAAGCTAAACTTCAGCGCTACAGAATAAGCCGCGACTGAACACCCGCGCCCCCCCTCTCTCAGGACAAGGCCCGACACCGCTTAAAGACATTATTTATCATAAACTTGAAGCCCTAAGCCCCGGGTCAGCTCCTGAAAAGGTCCAGGGACTTGTCGTCGTTGAGAATCCTCGGTCTCCCGCTTCAAGGCTTTAGGATTCCGGGCTCCAGGGCTCCTGGGATTAGGGGATCTTGTTAGGGCTGAGAAGAAGATAAGATTCGCGGGTTGAGGCTCACAATGTAGGTTTTCATGTTGCAAGGTTTGGGAAGGAGTTCTTTCGGCGCTCGTACTGACCTTGGGGCTGTTGGCAAGGCAGAGGAGCCTGGTCCTTCAAAACGCAACCCAGCAAAAACACAAAAGACACAAACAAGTCGACCCCCCTGGCAGCTCAGCGAAGATAGCACGGTGGGTTACGTACACTATACATTGTAGACTATATGCTTTATCACAGGGAGTCCACAGTTCATGCCCGCAAACGAAAGTTAATGGTGTCACTGCAAGCCCTTAGACGCAAACCCAGAACCTACCCTAAAGCTTCAGGCGAGGGATCTTGATGCTATGGTTGATGCTATAAATCCTGCATTACCCATAGAAAGGAATATACCATAATTCCCATAGTTTAGTGTTCTTAAGGTAATGCAGCATTTATGTCATCAACAGTATGTTGAGCGCCTTAGACCCTGAAGCCTAAGCTTTTCTACGAAGCCCACTAGATTTTATGGAAACCCAAGGAGCTCGTGGGTGACACCAGAAACCCTAAACCCTTGTAGACGCCCTAGCCCCCACCCCAAAGCAATAGGATCCCTAGCCTAGCCCTAACCCCCCTTGTACTACTCGTATAGACGCCCAGGGATCTTGATCGTCTCTTTTTTGAGCCCTTAAGCCCTGATCCCGATCATTCTCTCTATAGAAGCCGTGCGCTAAACCCTTCTCAAAAGAAACCCTGAACCCTTAACCCCAGCCCAAGGAACTGCATGGTAAAACCCTAAACCCTAAACTAACCCCAAACCCCTATAGAAACATAGAAGGCCTAAGCCCTGGTAGACGCCCCAAGCCCTTAAACCCTAAACGCTAGTCTCGAAATACGGAAGAACAAGGATCTTGATGGGATTCTTAAGAGTCCTTAAACCCTAATCCCTATGAGCCGTTATAAAACCTCAATAAGCCCTCAAACCCGAACCCTCTTATACCATCCTTATGGAAGCCCAAGGATGTTGAACGTATCTCTAAGCGCCCTCCATCCCTACTCGCTATAATCCTAAGCCCCTAAACACTAAACCCCTTAAACCCTATAAAAGCCCAAGGATCTTGATGGTATCATCCCTTGCCCCTAAACCCTATATCCCCAGCCCTACTAAACCCTATCAAAGGCCCAAGGATCTGGATGGTATCCCTAACAGCCCCTAAGCCTAAGCCCCTCAACCCTAAACCCTAAAAAAGGCCCAAGGATCATAAAACCTATCCTTATAGAAGCCTTACCACAATCCCTACGCCCTCAACCCTAAACCCTGGTAAAAAAGGCCCAAGGATCTTGATGGTGTCCTTAAGAGCCCCTAAACCCTTTGACGGTGCCCTTAAGAGCTCCTAAACCCTTTGACGGTGCCCTTAAGAGCTCCTAAACCCTTAACTTAAGCCTAAACCCCAAGCCCTCAACCCTAAACCCGCAACCCTCAACCCTATCAAAAGCCTAAGGATCTTGATGGTATCATCTCCGTAAACCTTAAACCCTAAACCCAATAAGCCCTTGTAAATAAAACCCTATATGTTCCAAAACAAGCCCAAGGATCTTGATGGTATCATCCCTAGCCCCTAAACCCTAAACTCCCTACTAAACCCCCCAAAAAGGCCCAAGGATCACTTAAACCCTAAACCCTCAACCCGAAACTCCCTAAGCCGCCAAGAAAGGCCCAAGGATCTTGATGGTATCATCCCCTTAAACCCTAAACGTCCTAGCCCTACTAAACCCTAAAAGAAGGCCCAAGGATCTTGATGGTCTCTCAATCCTAAACTCCCTAAACCCTATCAACCCTGAACTCCCTCAACCCTAAAAAAGGCCCGAGGATCTTGATGGCATCATCCCTAGCCCCTAAACCCTAAACCCTCAACCCTAAACTCCCTAAACAGTAAACCCTAAACCCTCAACCCTGAACCCTATCAACGGCCCAAGGATCTTGATGGTGTCCTATACGTCCTAGCCCTACTAAACCCTAAAAGAAGGGCCTATACAAAAAAGGCCCAAGGGTCTTGATGGTCTCCTTAAGCGCCAGCTGTTCCTCGGCTCTAGCGGCTTTTCGGGCCTCCCAGTCGGAGGCCTTCTGGCTGCAGCTCTTCTTCCTTGGGTCGTAGGCTTAGGGGTTTGTAGGGGTTTATAGGGGTTTATAGGGGTTTAGGGGTTTATAGGGGTTTAGGGGTTTAGGGGGGTTTTGGGGTTTGGGGGTTTAGGTTTAAGGGGGTTTAGGGGTTTAGGGTTTAGGGGTGTTGATAAAGGCTTAACCGTAGACAAGGGGTACCGCAATACAACTCCATAAAGGGTTCCAAAGTCTAACGCCTTAGATGAAGACATTAACCTCTCAAGCCGCTTGCCCGCTTATGAAAAGGTATGGAGAGTTCAGATGCAAGCATCAGCTCTGCCAACATCTTCTTGTCATCCTCGATGGACTCACCCATCTCGCCCAGCTCATGCTTCATGTTAACGACTTCCAGCTTCATCTCACCGATGTTCTCCAGGGACGGGGTTGGTGTTCGTATATTGGGGTTCCCACCTACAGCTCGTGAGACTTGTGATAAAGTGAAATGGGTTAGAATAAGGGCCCGCTCTTTCGTGTCGATGTGCCGGTCATGAACTGTTACATTACACATAGAGGTCTAATCGATATGTAAGTTTAACCCCTCTTTTCGACACCCCTAGCACCCCTCACCCTCGCGGACCCAGAAATCGATCAACTGCGGTTGAGCCTAGCACAACCCTAAACCCCAACAGTAACACCCTCAAGTCAAACCCAAACCCTGCAACCCTCACCCTAAATTTCAAAATTATCGTAAATCCGAAATCGCCAGACCGCTCCCAGAAAATCCTCGCCCCGTTCTAGATTTTCTACAACTCCTTCATCTTCCTCTCGAACTGGTTCAGGAGGGACGAGATTTCAGTCCTGGGCGCGGCTTTCTGGGCTCTGCAGGTTCTCTCCCGTCTCAGTTTTGGTTTTAAGGTTAGGGTTTTGGGCTTGGGTTGTCGTTCCCTGTCCCTCGCATGACTGAGATCTATGCCCACAAGCGAAGCAGGGCTTGGGGTTTAGGGTTGCGGGTACCCGGCCTTCCATCAAGGGGTCTCCACCATGAAATGAAAAGTAAATGACTTGACCTGAGAACTATGTTGAAGAGCATATTGAGAACACCAGGCGTAGCTGCATAGCAGCTGCAGCAGGTACCACAGGCAGAAACCTGCAAAGACTTACGTCCTAAAGCTTGCGCTTTAGAAACACTACAACACTATAGGCTACCAGAACATCTGTAATTTGGGTTCTGCAGGGTCCAGGTAAGCCGAGAAACCGCCAAACGCCTCAAGCCTAAACACTCAGACTCCAAACATAAACCTGCAAACCCCCACAAGCCTTAATTAAGCCTTAAACTCCTTAAACCAGCAAGCTAGAGGGAGCCCTCCTTACAGACACCCTTACGCGAAGCCTTATGGTAAGCCTGCTATGAATTGAACCCTCGATAGTTACATACTCTTAAAGTACTCTTAAAGGAACCCTACAACCCTGAAACCCAAGGCTACGTATGAGCCCCGAGACTTCTTGGCCGTCTTCACCTCTCCGTAAGCTTCCACTGACGTGTCCTCGGTCTCGTTTTCCACCTGTGAGCTTCCAGCGAAAGAGGTTTATGCAGTTTATACAGGGTCTTACAGACCAGGGCTTTGTAGATTGTATCAGGTTTTATATTGCGGTAGAAGTCTTCCAGAGTTTTGTGGGATCTTGGCAAGGCTTGAATACACTACTGATTAGAAATAGCTGATTAAAGCCTTTTTGGGTGAAATCATGATGAAACTATCTTGCGACATCTCGGGACAGGAGAAGCGATGTCATTATCAACTCAACATTCGGACCTCTGTGCTTGCTCACACCGCAATTACTCACAGGACCCCCACCACCCTGATTTCTGAAACCTCCCAAAGAGACCCAAGGACTCTCTTGAAAGGAGATACCTGGGACCCTAGGGTAGCATGCAAGGTTTTCGGAAAAATGCCTAAAATTCATTTTATTATAATGCAAATAATCATAATATCAATAATACGAACAATAATAATAATAACAATAATAAGAAGAAGAACAATCATAGTAATTAATTTCAGCTTCTTTTGTTGACACCTATCTTCCTGCTGCAGGTCTCTCCTGTATATAGGGGTTATGGCACAGGCCCTAAATAAAACGGAATGCCACCTTGATATCTTCCATGGCCGTGTCCTTGATTTCGGAGAGCATTCCCACGACATAGCCGGGATCTGCCGCACTGCTCTGGCCACTGAGAAAAGCCGTCACCTCCGGCATAAGCTTACGGGGCTCGTTTGTTGTTTGGGCTGCCGGGACTTCAGGCTTGGAGTTTAATTTTTAAAATTTGGCTGTTGGATGCTTGGATGTTGGATCAGCCTTCGGCAAGCCTTTGCTTACCGATTCGCTTTTTTATACTTGCCCGACGAGAAACGTAAACTTTACCCGATAACCAGGGTAGACTCTAGGCCAGTTCCGATCCTGGGCTTTAGCCCGGTGACCTCTTGGATTGGTTTGGGTATGCTCTCACCCGGACTTCTGATTCTTTGCATTCCCTTAAGGCCGCAACCTGAAGCCTCACACTCGACTTGAGACCGAATCATACCCGTAGATGCCCGGACCCCTCAGCCGCAGAACGCGAAACTGCAACACTCCCAAGTTCAGAAACATGTGACATTCGCAATTCCCAACCCATAGAATCCATAGACATGCTATCCAACAAAAAACAAGAATCGACAGCTGCAGTCCATCCGAAGCTCAAAAGCCTAACCCCAAGGGTTCCTGTACTGTTACGGGGGACACTTCCGTAGATCATGTAATAGCTATTCCGAATATAGAGACCCTACATTCTACCATATACAGTAGGTACTTAGGGACCCTTTGTTTGGGCCTTTGGGTAAAAGGACCGAACAAACCCAGGGCCTTCTGCTTCGCCTCCGTATCCACGCGGCTGGCACGCTCCACGGCACGCAGCATTTTCGAGACGGATTTGGATCCCTTGGCCTCTTCAGGGAACTTGGGCTTGACGAGTGCAAAAAAAGCGCCGTGGGTTCCATAAGGGAGTAGGGAAACATGTAAGGGCTTCGGGATAATGGGCTTTGTGTTGCGAGCTTGTGATGCGAACCCGCAAACAAAACGCCCACAGCCCGACATCCAAAAGCCCCTGTGTTTCCCCTAGCCCGGACAACCCTTAATGATAGAACCCTGGGAAAACCAGCATGGAAGTCCTCCCGGCCCCTATACAGACACATATGAGCAGATCCAACAACTCTTTTTGAATTCTACGAAACCCTGTAACAACACCCATAGCAAACCTGGTCTATCGAAAAACCTAAAGCTAGAGCCTTGCGCCCCCGGCCTGTAAACCCTAAACCCTATTAACACTATAGACCCTAAACCCCAAAAGACCCAAAACCCTAAACCTTAAACCCTAAAACCCCAGAAAAACCGAAGCCCGTTCTTAACCCCTCGGCCTTTTGAAGGAATGCCGAAGCCATGCCGGGAGGTCCGCTCAGGGCCGCCGTGGCGGTGTCCACGCTCTGAACCACCTCCGTCTCCTCGGAGAGCTTGTATTTTTATTTTGTTTGGAGGGGGGGCGGCGGGGCGCCCTTTACATTTCTTTGGGGGGTTAGGCGTAGAGTTCATGAGTTTCTGCAGCTGGGACCTCTACGACTTCGGTCGTAAGTGAATTGAAAAAGCACATATTGCTCTGCTGCTTGGGGCTATTATGGGCTTGTGGCGAGGCTTATGGGCCCTGTGGGTTCTGGAGCTAGAGCTCCTGAGTCCACAGAAACCTCTTCTGACGGAAGAGCTAATTAGGGGCTTAGTGTTTAGGGTTTAGAGCTTCCTTCTTGTAAGTTCTAAACGGTTTCAGGCTTTGGATGCCTGTGGTTCTTTTCGAATGAAGCAATGCACACCCAATGTAAACTCGAAACCGCAGAACCCGAGGTACCAAAATTTCTCGAGGGAGGGTGGTAGGACCTCGAAACATACTATTTGGGGTACGTGGACCGTCTTTGTGAAGCGTACAAAGCTCTATAAAACAAGAAACCTTTAAAAGCCAAGCATCCTCAGTCAGCTCATCCACATAATGTTCGTGCTCTTTTCCACGCTGCGACGTGGCCGCCTTTAGCGATTCCTCCTCTGCGATGCGATCGTCCTTGAGTTTCTGCACATCCTGCTCCAGTGCGACAATCTCAGCCTCCTTCTTCTCGATGTCGGCCGGAGAAATGGGGTTGGTCTCCGCCTGCATGATGTTCTCTTCCAGCTCCTTGATGGTGCCTTTGCAGTAGCAGTCGAACTTGTCGTAGAGATCGGACTCTTTCTCCGCCTCAGATTCGATCTTCTGAGACATTTTCTCCATCATGGTGATGACCTTGCGGATAGGGTTCCCACCGTTCCCACCATCCGTTCGGGTGGTGATAGCTGCGCCTGGAGCAAGAAGCAAAGCAAGGAACACCGAGGCGGACTTCATTGCGGATGGCATGCTGCACGCTCTACAAGGGCCGGCGAAACCTGCCCAAAACGATGTTGCGTGCCAAGACTTGTTTTGAGCCATGAGCCAATACAGGGGATGTATGATCGACAAGGTCGCACAAGAGATGTGGCGTCTGGTGAAGTAAGCGACTCGACACATGTGACCAGACTCTTACATAAAGGAGCACGCATCGATAATCACGAAGGTCCCACAGAATCTTAGCCTGTGGTGTTGGCAAGAAAAAGGTGCATCGAGCGGCAACGATCTCAGCAGCGAAGCTCAAAGCACCTCTGCAGGCAAGTACCTCGGAAGGCTGGTTCTGTCAGGTGGACGGAGGGAGGGAGGGAGGGAGGGAGGGAGGGAGGGGAGGGTCTATCGCGGCACAGGGTCCAGGACGCAAGGGTTCAGGGGTGAGGTGAGGGGAGGGTTGCCCTCAGTGAAAATCCTTCATTCCTTGCATTCCCATGCAGAAGACAGGGAAGACCAGACCACAGTGCAGTTCAGTGCAGGATCCCCATACTGTCCAGCCTTTACTGCACCAGCCCCTAAACCCTTCATGCCCTACCGAGCTAAGCCCTTAAGTGGGTCTGGTTTCGGCCATGCTGACCCCGAGCCTCCAAAGGCGCAACAGCTGCAGGTGGCGTGGAGCCGCTCATGGAAAAACCGGCGGAAACATGAGCACAGAATCAAACTACCCTAAACCCTAAACTTCCCTGAACCCTATGTTCAGAACAAGCCAATGTTTAGTTTATTCTCCGAACAATTACTCCAACAAGAAAAACTGGTTTCAGCCCCATTGTAGAGCCCTGGTTGTTCGTTTCGCCTCGCTTGAAATAGCTAACAAAACCCAAATCTAGCATGTGCCACGCACGTGTTTGTCTCAGCTTCAGGCTTGGGCCAACCGAAAGAAGACTGAGTTGAGGTCAGCTTGCACTTGAAGGTTCATTGGTTGGGTTGTTTCGTGCGGAAGGTCCTAAAGCCGGGCCAAAAAAGGGGAAGCACTGCTAGAGCTTCGGTTTTTTCAGAAGGCGGGGTGCGCGCAAAGGATTTGGGGGCTTTTCATCCAGCCAGCAGCGGAAACTCAGAATAAATGCTGCAGCTGGTAGGTCCTAGGTTCTACCAGCAATGTTACGTAACACCTCGGACAGCACATCTCTCGCCACACCACTTCGGAAGTCCTCTGCAACCCGACACTGGAACCTAACCACTAAATCTGAGCAGACACTCAACCCAACCCATCTGTGAAACCTCAACCCTCGATCAACTTAGGGTCTGAGCATCCTAGGCCAAAAAAGGTTAACCTTTCAATAATGGTAGGGATATTTAAGCCCCCAAAAAGGGTTAAAGGGTTACTTACTTACTCAGCTACTAAGTCAAACAGAGGCGTTAAACTCAACATCAGCAACGGGAGAGAGCATAGGGATGAACAGAATTTTGTGGGGCCTCCAGGTACCCAGGAAGACCCTGGGTTACACAAAAGGCTAGCTGGAGTGGGCTCAGGTTCGAAACTCGGGTATAGCTTAAATTTTTGGGTGTATAATACCATTTGGTTCGAAATTCGGGCTTTGTTTTGGGTCTATAATACGATTTGGAGCTGAATCAACTTAGGCAGCCTTTCTGCCAGTCACGGCATCCCAAGCACATGAGGTCTTTGCAACACAAGAACATGGCCCTGCACTCAGACCGCGACCTCCCCAACAGTATCAGTTTGTCCCAGTAACAACAGACTTTAGGGTGTTGGGGTTTAGGGGTTTCGGGTTTCTGAAACTCCAAGAAAACTAGCAAGATATCCCTAGCCGTGTCCCCGCAACTCAAAGACCGCCGCCTGCACGTTAAGGCCGTCAAATCTGTCCACCTCCCAATGCATGCGGATCTCCTATTGGGGGGGGTCTTGAGATGTCGGTTGTGGCTTTCGTTGTTGTGGTTGCTGTTGTTGCTTGCCCAGAAATCTTCATTCGTCAGACCATGAAAGAGAAATCCATACAGTCGAGGCATTGCAACAGCGTAACATGTGCAGAATTGAAGCTACCTTAGCCTTTTCTTGGCTGCCCGTCGTTCATGATGAGCTTGTTGCGGATGCATGGCTTAACCCTTTTAGGCCAGAACCCTGAAAAGCGAAAGACTACCAACACTGCCTCGAGGTCTAGGATGTACCGACTGTCTGGGGTCTAAGTGTGGGCAGCCTCCGAACTGCAGACCAGTCGGGTACACAAAATAGCCGGCACGCATCCAAACCAACAAAGCCACGCAGATCACTGGCGCAACAATAAAAGCCCGACATCCGTACACCACAAATCCCGAACTAGATATCCAAGGCGGAAGGATATATGACATGTTGCCTTCTTGGGGGCAACTACTTCGAGAGAAACAATCTAGCTTAAGCAATGCTCAAGGATTCTGGTTTTGAGGAGCCCATTAAGCTTCACACAACCATGTCAAATCCGACAAAAGGCGTCCCATACATTATTCGTTTGAAGGGGGCTTTCTGGGCAAAGAGTCTTTACGGCTTCCGTATGAAGGTTTTCCGGGCCCAGCCGGCATCCTGGTTCAAACGATGTACAGAGGCCATAGTCGTCGGAAACAGGTTTTGGCGAATATTGTATGTAGCTGCCTTAACAATTAAATAGGGTTTGGGGTATACTATGCTGTAATACAACCACCAAAAATAATATAGGCAATCTTTAAGGCCCCAATTGTAGTATGTCTATATAGAGACTCGAAGGAGGCATGGCAAACGATGCTTTCCCAGCGGGGCGGAACCGATGATATGGAACTGATGGCTCGAAGGCAAGCTGTACGGCGCCGTACGGCCCCCCGTGGAGTCAGCTTTGGGTTCTGCGGCTTCGGGTGAAACGAAGGCCTTGCTCCACAACCCCGATAAGTCCTACGATCCAACACCCTATACATATATAAATGTATACACCTACATACATGCATGCATGCATACATACATACATACCTACATATCTACGTACATACTAAACGTAAACCCTATCAACCTTCGAGCCATGAACCCATGATCCCAAAGCCCCACATTTCTAGATCCCCAACAGCGAAAACTAAAGGGTCTAGATCCTCACGGGTTTGACTCGGAGCTGGCATGCTCCAGCCTTCGGGGGGGGGGGGGGGGG